ATCTCATGAGGAGGAAGCAGCATCTGCCAGGAGAGGCCTATGCTGGGAGGCCAAGCCAGCCCTCCGCCAGAGAGTACTTCATGCTCTTCACAGTTACGAGGAATCATTTTCGAACATGCACATGGTCAACTTCCGTTTATCTCCCTCCTTTGCTTAGTCTCCCCTTCTAACGTGCTGCAGACCGCTAGATCGTGGGCTAGCAGAACCATTTCTCTCAACCTTTCTTACTCCCATTCCTCTACCTCCCTCACCCTTTCCAAGCCAGTTCTGTGACACGACGTAGTCATTCAGATCACGTGCTATGATGAGGGGGTAGCTTTTCAAAATCGATTTGATGACATCTTCGAGGCCCAAATATATCCGTCCTTCTCACTTTCGAGCATCTGGTTGCAGTGCATACATGAGCAGCATTCTCTGCTTCTGTTTATTCTCACAGTCATTATTTGACATTATTCGATCCTTGTCCTCTTCACAGCGGTGACACAGCCCTTGAGTGATTCCGCTACAGATATGGCCACGCCGATCCGCTTACAATATCCGCGACTCCTGCAGGCATGGAATAGGACAGAGAGATATTCATGTGTACCACCAGTTCAGTCGCTGGGAACTTCCCAGTTAGTGATCCTACGTTTAGAGTCCCAATTCGAACTAGCTTCTTTGGCCGAGGCCGTTCACTCCTCGGTAGCCCTCGCATACTGACCACAGAACTCGGGCGGGGGTTCTGCGCGCCACTTCCGGGTGACGTCCTAGCTTTATCACTGATTCTTTGACTTTTAGACATGGTGTGACTGGGGTATTCATCAGCCGGCCTGTCAACCTGAGCCTGACGCTGGTACCAAAACCATTGTTAGATACCCAGAGTATGTATAACCCTCGGGCAGGGATCATGCCCACTGTTTTCAAGATGAGACATTAGCCTACACTTTTAACCTTTCGGCTATCCCTGCCGCAGTTTAAAATTGAGGTGAGTCGAAGTTTTTGAACCCAGTTTGCTTCGAAGACCCGAATTTGCTCAACTGATGCATTTTTGGAGCGCTGAGGTCCGACTCATAAAACCAGCTTATAAGTCCAGAATTTCAAGAAACTGCTCGAAACGAGTCCCAAATGAACTTAACACATTGACGACATTGAGACGCGGTAACGCGTCTCACTTTGCGCACCTCGTTGGACATTGAGACGCGTTACCGCGTCTCACCCTTGTCATCCCTTTTTCTAGCGCATGCGGGATTCTTCCCAATTTGCTTGTCTCTATTCTATGGATTACAACATAACAACTGTAAACGACATGGGTCACGGTATGATCAAATATGCTCCAGTTTAGCAGAAGTTTTTTAAGCACAGCGGAATTGGCAGCTCGGTTCATTCCTCGTTTTCTTCCTATTCTCATGAACATGTCAGTGAGAAAGGGTAGTGAAAGTAAATACAAACTTAAAGGGATAGAAAATATATGTTTCACTTGGACACATCCACATCGAAAATAGTTTTGGCATCCACTACAGAGAAAAGGACTTGAATTCCAATTTTCTTTACCATTTCACGTTTTTTGATCGGAATTTCGCTACTATTGGGTTCTCTCATAATTCCTGTCTCTCATTTCTATTCAATTTCAAATTTCTTCCGTCTAAGACCGTTTCATTGCGAAATACGTTAGTATGTTGAAGTATGCTTCAAGAGCCTTAACAGCATGGTTTCGGAAGCGCAAGCCCTTAACGGGTTAATCAACTAGGAATAAAAATAGGTCAGTGACTATAATGAATGATTATGCTTTACGATCCTCAAATGAACTCTGTAGCAAGGAGGACAACAGAGAAGACCAGCGCTGTGTTTGACCCAGTCTCTGCTACTGATAGGGTACTGAGCTAGTGGTCCAATCGCAACGGCAAAGACGAAACGAGCTATGAACTTCAACCTCATACTGGGCCTGATTTTGAAAGGGGCAGAGTCAACCCTGCGTTGCGCAGTTCTCAACGGCCACGTTGCGCAGTTTCGCCCGATTAGACACGTTCTCTCGCGCGAACATTCACACTCGCATGCTCGAGCCGTCTGTGTCTCCGCCCATACAGCGTGCGTTGAGGATCTCTCAACGTGCCGTTGCGAACTGCGCAACGCAGGGTTGACTCTGCCCCCTGGACCATAAATTGGGAGTGCCTCCGGACGTTGCTACCAGGGTATTGTAGCAGATACCTGAGCGCAGCCGATGCACCAGCACACGCCATCAGTATGGAAAGGACTGCTGCAGAATGAAGTTTTGATGGAAACCTTATGGTCCGGCCGACCATGAGCGAGAAGCACGCCTGACCATCTGAGGAAAATTTTTCTGGAACGGCAAAAGCCCAACCTCACATTGCAATGCCAACTCACCACGTTCTGAGGAGATAGCCAGGGCCACGATACCTCATCCACCATATAGCATTGGCATCGCTCTATCGGACTATCGCCTCCCCTGCGCCCTGAATAAGCATCTGCCAGAGAAGAAAGTTAAAGATTGCGACCACCCCAAAAACGACTTCTCCAAATTCTTCAACCCCCAGCTTCCTTCATTCTGGGCTGGAAGCTTCCAAACATTCCCTAGCAAATGCACGCATATCAGTGACCATGATGGTGGTTATGCTATTGATCAGTTGTTTCATAGAAGAAAATTTTTTATTTTTAAATTAAAAAAATTCATAGAAAAAAATTTTCATAGAACCAGAGGAGGGCCTGAGAAAATTTTCATATGCAACGCCAAGAACTAACGTGAGGCTCTATAGCTTCACCTGTCGTGCAGGGTCTATATATACTTCTCTTAAATCTAATGTGGCTCTCGTTACTCCCTCTGTTGTGCTTTTCAAGCGCCTGGCTAGTAAAGATTTGTTGAGCTATGACTAGGTTATATTCAAGGGAAGATCGTTGTATTGTTTCCTACGACTGCCTTATGTGTCGTCTAATAAATAAATAAATAAATAAATAAACAGAAGAGATGAAACCTGAATAAGCAAAAGTGTCGAAATTGAAACAGGAATTATGAGACAACCGAGTATATATTCGATTACTTTCTACGCATTGAATATTGCTGAAATGGTTTCGTACCTTTGAAGCTTCCCAAAGTTATCATCGAAATTCACGGGTGTGAGGTGTGACGGCCGCGCTCGCAAAAGCGCCCTTGTCCCACGCGGTGCAAAAACCCAAAACGCGCGATGTCGTCAATGTGTTAAGGCACATACTTGCGCGCCACGATGGGTGTTTCCGCTCAGCGACTCGAGGCCCTCCTCTAAAACTGCTAAAAGGAAATTTCAAGTTAAATGACTAGTATAATCTTCATCGAGTGGTGAATTATTGCTTGCAGTCATAATTAAAACTGATCAACTACTCACCGGATTCAGTTCTTTCTGAGTTTCCGTGATTTTCGCCCACTCTGTATTTTCGTTTATCTATTACACTTTTGTGTGACTCCATCTCACTATGCGCCTTTCTCACTAGCCCATTTGACATTTTCACTTTTCCCGATATAGTGATCAAGAAATGATGGAAATTTTAGTGCACTCGAAAGTTTCTGAAAACGTCTCAGGTGAGTATTATCAACGTGCATGTCGTGCGTATTTTATAACTACCACTATACCAACGCTAGATAACAAGACGATTTTGGTGTTCTTGTGTACTTCAGTGTTATGTCTAGCAACTAACATTCGTAACTGTCACGTAAATACTGATTTGCAAAACTTATTTCCGTTTCTCGATTTATGGATTAGGCTATATCGCCTCGGCGTGGACGACCGACAAAGATGGTGTACGATCACGAACGTGCACTTATACAATGGCGCTAAATCATGCAATGGCTCCGAAAAGCTGTGTAGTGACAGAAAAGCAGGTAGTCAATACTTCAAAACAGTCGATATAGCTAGCCGATTATTTAGACAAGATATTTAGATTCTATCCCACTTTGGACGTAATGGTGATGGCTTTATTGTGAACAAAGAAACGCAGAACTCGGGCGTTCCTTACGCAAACGACTTCACAATTCAAGTAACTTATCCTTTACTGTTATGCGTAAGGCCGGAGACCACCATACGCGGCCGTGCGCGGATGCGAAGATTGCATTCCGTCTGATAATTTGGTCAAAAACGTCTCGGAGAAGTCTAAATAAACCCCCTCAACGGTTAAAGCAATATCCGCGCCTCGTCCTCAAGTGACCATAGGCTGGTGTCAGAGTCCGCGATCCGTCGCAGGTTTCGCTGATTTTCGCGATTTGCGCGATTCACGCGACGGGTCACGGAAATCACAAGTGCCCGATCAATACTGCAAGGTGTTCTCCAATCCCGCCGCCACTTCTGCTTGATAGTGATGGCTGAATGACGACTGCTCATGATTCCACTTGTTTCATATTCAGTGTTTCAAATGTTCAAATGGGCACTTGCAATTTTTGCGATCCGTCGCAGGTTTCGCGAAAACGCGCAAATCGCGAAAATCAGCGAAACCTACGACGGATCGCGGACTCTGACAACAGCCATACGCATCGGTGTCTCTAGTCGCGTCACAGTGCATTTTGGAAAGAGAACAGTGTACCTTTGGGGCACTGGGTCACTTTTACAGACTTCTCATTTTCAGTGCATTTATTGCGTCTCCAAGATCAGTGAACACGAGGCTCGGATAAAAGTTCATGGTGGCATCGTATACAAAAAGAACATTTGGAGTGTAGTTAGAGGTAAGCTTCGTTATATGAACAATTTGAAGTCCACGCTTACGGCAACTATAAAACCTGCACGGGTATGAGCAATTGCCACGTGGTAGATAAGACAAGTGAATAAATCTATAATTGAGCTGCGCCGCAAAGTGCATGACCCAACCAACAGACGATAGCCACAGAAGGAAAAGGTGAGAAGAATGGATGTCCTAGACAAGCTGCCCTCTTTCTTTGTTACTGTTTCACATTCCGCCATTATGTTCAGACGAAGGAGTTGAGCACACGAAATTCCATATTGCCACGCGGTGTAATTCAAATATGCCAGCTTTGCGTCGCCCGCTATACCACAGCTCCCGGGCAATATGGAACGCAGAGGCAAAAACTCCAGTTTCCACCATTAGCATTATCACGCAGTGGTGGAGCTCTCGCTCTGCAGGAGGTTGGTCGTGGGTTTGCTCCCGACCGGGGCATTTTCATGCGAACGTGAGCGATAAGAAAAAGGACAATCGTCATCGTCCGACCTGCTCTCGGTATTGGCTATGAGCCGACCTCCGCTCGAAGTTGCATAATCAATTGAATTGTGTTTTATGATGATGCATGACCTGTTGAGGCAAACTGTACTGTAGTGAACACATTTTTTAACGCGAATAACCTAAAGAACAGCTTCATTCGCTTAGTACCTTCCCTACCCCCAACAAAGTTTCTCAACGAGTTATTAAGGGACAGGGAGCTGGCGGAAGACAGAGGAATGTTCGCCCCGCGTGTACACATATGGCCCGTTCCTTGCGAACATGCACTTTCATTCTTTGTACTGCTTTCAAATACGTCCTTCTCATAAAGGTAGAGGAATGGAGCGACTGAAACCTGCAAAGAATATTTTATATCATGTTTTTTTCAAATCCTGATCTATCCATTTTCTGCTGTGCACACCCTCTTCCTATCTGCACCGCGACACCGCTGATGCCATTGACCGTCAGAAGTACAATTCCCACGACCCCCTTACTAATACGACCCCCCGTCGAGGATTTTCTCGACCGATATTCACCCTGGTCGTCACTGAGTACGGGGACCATCACTGACTAATTTCCCTGCATTTTTGAGGAAAAGTCCCTTTTGAAGAAATGGCCTCATTCGCATCTTATTAAGTGAACCTAAAATTTTACCAAACTCATAACGAAGGAAAAATCAAAACATGATTTCGAATAGAGCAAAATGTGGTTCCGAATGGTATACGAAGTTATGTGAAAACGTTTTGTTAGGAAAGTTTTAGTGCAAAAAATATTGACGGCATAGCGCTTATCCGAAAAATTAGTATTCAAAAAAGAACGATAAGGCGTTCATCCATCGAATGCTAAGATGATGTCGTGCTAAAAAAAACAGTACTTTATCGAATGACTTCTTTGGCAAGAACATAGAGTTTGAATCAGTTGTCGGTTTAGCTGAATTTCATCTACTCTACCTCCCACTTCATAAACCTCTAATTTAGTAATCTTACAGTAACTACCAAAGAAGTACATTGCGTTTTGCAGAGCAGACAGTTCTGTTTCGAATGATCTATAACAGTATGTAGGGCTAGGAATCCATTGGAGGAACTTTTTGAAAAAAAGACGTTACTTCTCGGACAACCTAATATAAGTTCGTAACGAAGTCTGCCCAATGCACGCTCTGCCCACGGATAACATTTGCATTTTTCTTTCCCTTCCGCACCTATGTACAGTGCGTAAAAAGTCTCTGGACAAACAGAAATACGATTGTTTTTCTTGGAGTTCTTCGATTGATCTCAAATTTTCGAGTCGTTACGGGTACATGTCGATTGTTGCCCGCAAGTAATTGTCGTAGATATCGTCTCAGACTTGAATGACGAAAGCTATTAGAAGTCGAGCTTGGCTACGCGACAAGCCTCCTTCTCTGACACAGTCTAGACGGTGACCCAGGGGATGGAGTTCGAAATGGAGATCGATATACGGTATGAAGGCGAGCAGGTGGGTTGCGCACCAGTCTTGTGCCTGCTTCGTCGCTGAGTCTTGTTGGAAGCATGATTCCTGGTCTTCATAGTCTTTTTGGCGAAGAGAAGCAATATCTTCTCCAAAATATCTAAAAAGTGGTAATCTTCTTATTCTAATCTAGAAAGCCTTGCCTGTCGAACATGTACGACACTGAACCATGACACTGACAAGGTGGGAGCAGCGTCAATTGTGTGTCGCCCAGTTCTTCACGAGGAGGTCGCTTCTTTGGAGTTGCAAGTTAGATGGCTAGTGGTGG